GAGGGAGAGGCGAGAGGAGAGAGAGAGAGAGAGGAGAGAGAGAAGAGAGAGAGAGAGAGAGAGAGAGAGAGAGAGATGAGGAGAGAGAGAGAGAGAGAGAGAGAGAGAGAGAGAGAGAGAGAGAGAGAGAGAGAGAAAGAGAAAGAGAAAGAGAAAGAGAAAGAGAAAGAGAAAGAGAAAAGAGAAAAGAGAAAGAGAGGAAAGAAGAGAAAGAGAGAGAGAGAGAGAGAGAGTGTCTTATTATCATCTCTGCTATCATTGCCATTACTATTACTAACCTTTCTATAATCATCACATAAACCCTTAACCTATTACTGTATCTATTACATTTCACTCAATATTTTACTCCTTCATATGTGGAAGACCAACCATGATGCTTAGTAATTACAGATAAAAAAGTAAGAGAAACAAATTACGAGGGGAATCAGGACAACAAACCAGTCTCTTAATGCCAGAACTGAAAACATACGAAGGGCTTTTCGCAAACCATGCTTTGTAAATTAAAATATCTGTTGAAGTATCAAACTGATATCAAATGCAATGTGTGTTACTTTATTCCTATGTGATTTTGTTACATGGGGATGAAAGAGAAAGTCTAAATGAGCTTAGTACCTGCGTGAGGGAATAGTTGGGAGTAAAAATTAAATATAGAAAGAAAATGAATTTCGTAAATAAATGCTTTACTGCATAAAGAAACCTCTCGGCACACAACAAAGGAAGATCACCAAAACCATAAGCAAAAGAATGGTGAGAAGGAACCAACACCGAAAAAAGGCCAGACGTGCATGCACAAAGAAAAAAAATCACAGCAAATAAATAAACCAACCATTTTTTTTTTTTTTTGTTTAAGGTTATACATCCCTTTTATCTATTCTGGAACTTTAAGAGGGAAAGGTGGTTCAGTGTCATTTGTTTTGAGACTGGAAATCTTGAGCTCTTACTTGGCTCTATCTACACCTGATTGAATGTCTGACTTTCACCTTGGCAACTTTAAAGCTTGCCTTGGCTTTGGTCAATCATGTAGTACAGTGAGAATTTTTAATATCTATATATATGTAAAGAAACATACTCCTCTCTCTCTCTCTCTCTCTCTCTCTCTTCTCTCTTCTCTCTCTCTCTCTCTCTCTCTCTCTCTCTCTCTCTCTCTCTCTCTCTCTCTCTCTCTCTCTCTCTCTCTCTCTCTCACACACACACACACACACACACACACCACACACACACACACACACACACACACACACACACACACACACACACACACACACACACACACACACACACACACACACACACACACACACACACACACACACACATGTACACACAGTGTGTATGTGTGTGTGTGTGTGTGTGTGTGTGTGTGTGTGTGTGTGTGTGTGTGTGTGTGTGTGTGTGTGTGTGTGTGTGTGTGTGTGTGTGTGTGTGTGTGTGTGTAAAAGACTTTGGTACATACTTCTAACACAGCTGAGATCCAGCAGTTCAAAAAATCTTTGAATCTTTGTTATATTACAAAAAGCTACCATACTTGCACCCCACTACTCAAATATCTAATGTACAAAGTAAATGTGTTGGGGAGGAAGCAGGGTAGGTAAAAAGAATGCAACCGTAATATCTGAATAAGCAGCAACCACTAACATCTAACCTTTGTCAAAATACTGGACAGATGTAAAAAAATCAGCTTTGAACCTGAGAGCAAGATAAATTATATTCTCTCACTCACCAGTATGTAAGTTAACACTACTGCATGTATACATACAAACTTCAACATCAATATACAACACACATGCACTATCTTTCTCCCTATTTCACACACACACACACACACACACACAACACACACACACACACACACACACACACACACACACACACACATACACACACACACACACACACACACACACACACAACACACACACACACACACACACACACACACACACACACACACACACACACACACACACACAACACACAACACACACACACACACACACACCACACACACACACACACACACACACATGCATGCATGCACGCACGCACGCACTCTCTCTCTCACTCACTCACTCACTCACTCACTTGCACGCATGTAAGTATGTATGCATGCAGTCACATACACACTCTCACTCACTCACTCTTCTTCTTCCCCTCTCTCTCTCTCTCTCTCCCTCTCTCTCTCTCTTCTCTCTCTCTCTCTCTCTTCTCTCTCTCTCTCTCTCTCTCTTCTCTCTCTCTCTCTCTCTTCTCTCTCTCTCTCTCTCTCTCTCTCTCTCTCTCTCTCTCTCTCTCTCTCTCTCTCTCTCTCTCTCTCTCTCTCTCTCTCTCTCTCTCTCTCTCTCCAAGTAACCAAATAACACACACTCTCAGTCACTCTCTCTCTCTCTCAGTCACTCTCTCTCTCTCTCAGTCACTCTCTCTCTCAGTCACTCTCTCACTCTCACATTCTCTCTCCCTCAACTCTCTTTGAATACAATACAAATAAATGGCAATATTTGAA